CATTTTTAGGTTCTCTAATGATTAATGTAATCTTCCCCTCCCTACCCTCCACTGAGAACTGAGTCAGTTTGTCTTCTTGGTGCCTGTAGCCCTATGACCCCAAAACTAACAGTGATCACTCTAGAATCTATAAGTGCATTTTTTGCATTAGCTCATATTAGTTTAGATTTCCCAGGAGACAATAGCCTGACTACCCCCCCTGGAATAGCATACAAGGGGATGGGTGCATTGGAAATTTTTCTCCAAGCAAATTACATATACACATGGGATTTTCACAAGCTCAGCAAAGACTGTACTGTGTGCTGAAAAGATAGCCATCAAATGACATCATCTCAGGGCTGCTGTGTCCATCTGTACCCCCACCCCAAGCTCGTTCATATGCACCCTTCTGCTTGCTCCTGTACACATGCTGGAAACATTTCCCTAGGGAACACTCTAAATTCATGCAGAGTTGGTCTCAATAAGACAGCTTGTGTTTATCTCAAAGAAAGGAGAATTTATGGTATTTTATATGTAATTATTTATATGTAATTATATACAATTATTTGTAATACAAAAATGTATTAGTAACTGTTCCATTTAACTCATTAATTGTGGTAATAGTAGCCTCCTCAGAGTACACTATGGGAAATTGGTCCATGTTTTCCTAAATTTTTGTATGATCATGATTAAACTCCTCGAGAACTAAAAGGACATCTTATTTGGTTGGTATACTAATGATTTCAATTGCTTTATGAGTCAGTTGCAGGGCCCCATCACCATGACCGCTGAATTAGCCTCAAAACAATGAACATTTTCTGTCTAATTGGCTTCGTTCATTTGCCATGTGGAGGTCTGACTTGAGTCAGCCAAATGGTGGTCTCTTGGCTTATTTTACAAACCCATATGCTCTAAGAACCAGACATAATTTCCCTTCCACATTGTTTGCATCTATATACTCACTAGTAATATTTCTAAGGAAAATATTGCTGAAATTAAAACAACTGTTCCTTTGTGTTCCTTATAGTACAGTAACTGCCCATCCTTTGATCAGTGTTCTGTAGGCCCACAGAAATCTGTTAGTGGAGAGCAAGGAATAAGTTTAATTAGGTCACATTCTTGTTATTTGGAAACCAGCATTCTTCTCTACTTTAGTATTTATATCAAACACAACTTTTCCTTTTCTTTAGTGAAAAACTGTGAAATAAACATATTCTTTTTGTGACACTTAAACTAACATGAA